GGACGGCGGGGGGAGTCCCAGGCTGGGAGTAGCCAAAGAAAGAAGTGGTTGGGGCTCTGGCCGCTGTATACACTACCAGCGGACTCTGGGGCCATCTGCTTGCGTTTCTGGCACCCAGAGGGTCTGTCGTGAGCGCAGGTGTGCGAGGTATACATGTGCATCCTATGATGGCATGACTGTGCACGCGTACACACCTGCCTCTGCACGGGAACGGGCACAGTCTCCCTGCTGCGGGCATTTCTGCGTTGTGGGTCCACGTGCTCTGTGTGCCTGTATATCTGTCCTGGCCCTTAGGGGACACATCCTCTAAACAAGAGTTCATGGGTGTGTCATAAGCGCCATGTATGTGCATCTGTGTTCTTTTGTTTCCAAGAGCCAGTGAACAGAATGTGCCTGTGTGTCTCTGTGGGAAAAGGGAAATGTTTGTCACTGAGTTGGACTGGGAGCGTGTGGAATTCTGGAACATATCTCACTACCCAACCACAGACTGTTGAAGCTGGGAAGAGCTTTGGGTGTTTTCCAGTCCATCTCTTTGTCACAAATGAGGAAACTGAGGCCCAAACTTGGAGGAAAGCAGCCAAGCTTTCCACAGTAGATGTCACATCCACTGTGTGGTGTGCCCTCTAGGCATGTAATCCTTCTAACCTTTTGAGGATGATAGTAAGCCCCCTTTTACAGATAAGAGGAGTGAGGCTGATAGTACCTGAACAAGGCGACAGAACCAGGATTTCAACCCACAGTGCCCAATGCCAAAGTTCACAGTCATACTTCTACACCAGGAGTCTTCAAAGTGTGGTCCAGGGAGTCCAGGGGGCCTTGAGAACCTTCCAGGGAGTCGCTGAGGTCAAAACAATTGTCCTAATAATGTTAGAACATAATTTTACCTTTTCACTTTCATGCTTTCACAAAAATATCCTGGAATTTTCCAAAGGCTACACAATATATCTTCTATTAAGCCAGAAATTAGGGGTGCCTGGGTGGCTCAGTCGATTGAGCATCCAACTTCAGCTCAGGTCATTATCTCACATCTCATGAGTTTGAGTCCCATGTTGGGCTCTGTGCTGACAGCTCAGAGCCTGGCATCTGCTTCAGATTCTGTGTTTCCCTCTCTCTCTGCCCCGCCCCTGCTTGTTCTCCATCTCACTCTCGTTCAAAAATAATAAACACTAAAAAAATTTTTTTAAGCCAGAAATTAAAGAGATTTACAGAGGGGCGCCTGGGTGGCTCAGTCGGTTAAGTGTCTGACTTCAGCTCAGGTCATGATCTCGCGGTCTGTGGGTTCGAGCCCCGTGTCGGCTCTGTGCTGACAGCTCAGAGCCTGGAGCTTGTTTCAGATTCTGTGTCTCCCTCTTTCTCTGACCCTCCCCTGTTCATGCTCTCTCTCTCTCTCTGTCTCAAAAATAAATAAACATTAAAAAAAATAAAGAGATTTACAGAAATGCAAGGCAACAACATTCTTGCTTCTAATTTCTTTTGCTTTGTAAAATAAATTTATTTAAAAATTATGTTATTTATGTTAAAACATAGAATGAGTTTATCGCAATTTTCATTAATTAATTAACATTTAAAAATAACCTAAACAAAAGCTCTTTGGGGCCCTCAGTATTTTTTAAGAATTTTAAGGGGTCCAGGGCATCTGGGTGGCTCAGTTGGTTAAGTGTCTGACTTTTGATTGCAACTCAGGTCATGATCTGCATAGGGCTCTGCACTGTCAGGATCTTGCTTAGGATTCTGTCTCCCTCTCTCTCTGCCCCTCCCCAGCTCACACACATGCTTTCACTCTCTCTCTCTCTTTCTCTCTCTCAAAAACCAAATAAACTTTAAAAAAAAGAAGAAGAAGAAGGATGTTCTCGAAATGTTTGAGAACCATTGCTCTATACCTCCCTGGGGGTCCTCATGGGGACTGACTGTACCAAAAGTTCACAGGTACAGGACAAGGGGAGACTTGGTCAGGTTGGCTGGGCTCTCAGTCTGGTATTCTTTCCACATCAAGCCAGGAAACTGAGATCAAGATCACTGGGTTTAAGATGTGTCCCCAGCTGTCCCCAGCCTCTGCCAGTGGGGGCCTCTCTGGTAGGAGCTTATGTCCATATTCTCTCAACCAGGGATGTCCCTTCCCTTTGATGCTCACTTGCCAATGCCCATCCAGCTGCCCGTGCTGCCCTCCCATGCCAGCTTGTGGGAATACAAGCAATGGGGGTGGGGAACGTGGTTGGGGCAGCTGGGCAACCGTCCCCACTGGTCCCTGGCACGGCTCTGCCCAGCACACAAAGGGCAGAGTGAATCTTGTCCTAACCCCTGCAGCTGAAGAGCTGGAAGGAAGAAAAGAGGAGGCACACATAAAAGGAGTGGCTACCATAGGGCTTACATCACCCAAGGTTCTCCCAGAGGGATTTAACCTGGAGACAGACAAAAAGAGGGAGTCTGGGTCCTACTGCCAGCTAATGAGAAGAGATGTCTTGGGGGGGGGGGGTCAGCGAAGTAGATGATGATAATCATGATGATCAGCTTGATGATGTCATTGGATCCTCACAAGAGCTTGGAGAGAGAGACAGAATGGGCAGACTGGTCCCATTTCACAGTTGTCCACACTAAAGCCTAGAAAGGCAGAATGACTCCTTTAGGGTCCCAGAGCTGTCAGTGAAGCATTGCAATGTCCACATACTGAAGGAACAACCTATCGACTGTTGGCCAAGAGCCACTTGGTGTTTGGCTATACCACTGAATATAATTCCATGTTGGCTGTGTGCATGCTCCTTGCCCTGCAACAGGTACACAGAATCCTCGGGGGAGCATGGTCTCAGGGCCAGTCCCAGGGAACATAGGGCAACAATAAGCACCCACATAGCTGAGGAGCACAGCAGTGGATGCTAAGTGGCAGGTTAAAGAGCAGCAGGAGACTGGGAGATTTTGGAGGAGGGATGGGGCACTGCCTGGAGTGGTGTGGTCACAGAGCAGGTGCGATTGGCTCTTGTCTGGCCTTTTAGGGTAGGTGGCTCTCAGAGAGGTGGAGAGGCATCAAGGGTGGGATTTCCAGGGGAGAAAAATGGCCTCAGTAAAGACCAAGACATGAGAAGTCTACAACAGAGGGCTGTTGTTGGGGCTGAGTTGATAGCTATGCGTGCTCAGCTAAAGGTCCCTCCTCGCTTCCCGAGAAGGAAGACGAGGACTGCAAGACCTCTACTGGGTCAGTTCCAGAAGTCTCAGTGCTAGCATCTGGACTCCCCTTATGAAATTTGAGGGCAACGTTCTTTCCCCAATTGCTGAACAGGCAAAAACAAGTGTGTGTGTGTGGGGGGGGGGGGCCATAAAACTTGTGAGAATTACAGCCCAAGAGCAGCCTGCAGGGGAGACTGAGGACCAGAGAGAGCAGAGGCTTCTTTCCAACAGAGATTCCTTTCCCCGCACCAGCTGATGACAGCAAGCCCTACACACAGCGCCTGCTCAGAACAAGCTCCACAGCTGGACCATGCGGCCCCCTGAGATGCCCGCAGGGACCCCGAGATGCTTGCAGTCCTCCTTGGCTCTCCTGCTGGCCTCCCGCCCACCTGGCTTAGGCCCAGTGCATGTGAGTCAGCCAATCAATCCCAGCGTTGCCTGGACAACCAGGGGCGGGCAGGGGTGGGCACTGCAGGCAGCTGTCTCCTACATCTGGCACCTGCACACAGCCAGCCGAGGCTACACACAGTTGAGAGGAGGATGCTTCCCCCTCCTTCCTGGACCCCTCCCCCCTTCACTCCTCCTAGGACACTTGCTGTGAGAGGTTTTGGCAAATATTTAAAGGGGTAGTTGGGGCTATTGGAGGGTGGTGGGAGCAAACACCCTTCCCTTCCCTCTCTCCTTCCCTGAGCTTCTCAGGCACTCTCAGCTCAGATGCCATGCTGTTGTGCAACCTGGAGGCTGAAGGCCCTCCAGCTGGAGAGAGGGTCCTTGTGGGGAAGGGCAACCTGCCAGTGCTGGAGAGCTGGGGGTCAGCTCATGACTGAATGGTAGGGCCAAGGTGTGGAGGGAGCCCCCAGGGCAGGGACAGGAACTGGGGTGAAGTGTTGGAGGTAAAGTGTCAGGAGGACAAGGGAGTTAGGCCTAGAGGAGTGAGGGTGGGGCTCTGACTTACACACTTATGGAAGTTCCAAGGTAAAGGCACTATAGAGACCACCTGGCCTGGCAAGTGGAGGGGAACCCAAGAGAAAGGATGCAGCCATTAGTAGATCTGGTTTAGTACAACAAAGCAAAAGAAGTGTCTTTGAGGAAGGAGGTAAAGGGACAGAAGGGAGAAATAGAAGGTCCAGAAAGTGGATTATACTGGAATGAGTAGCATTCCCAAGGCAAATTTAGGATCCAAGGGTATAAAAAGAGGAACACAGACGAATAGGGTCACAGGCAGCACCAAGCAGATGAGATTCAAGGAAGAGGGGATTGGGACCCCATCAGTCACCACACCCATCCCTGTGCAAGGCTGCTGAGGTATAAGAAAGAACTGTCAGGTGTGGAATCTGCTATCAAAAGCCCTCAACTTGATCTCTGAAAATGGTTACTATTCACTTGATTCAGAAAACCCACAAAATCATTCAAATCAAGAGGTTCAAATCTTTACATTCATTTTAAGAACACTCATGAAACTCCCCAGATCATTAAGGGCATGTCTATCTGAAAAGCCACCAAGTATCTGAAGGATGTCACTTTACAGAAGCAATGTGTGCCATTCCATCATCATAATGGTGGAGCTGATAGGTGTGTCCAGGCCAAATGGTGGGGCTGCGCACAGGGTCAGTGGCCTAAAAGGAGTGCTGGATTTTTACCGCACTTGCTTGAACATGCAGAGAGTAATGCTGAACTTAAGGGTTTAGAGGTACATTCTCTGGTCATCGAGCACATCCAGGTGAACAAAGTCCCCAAAATGAGCTACTAAGTTTACAGAGTTCATGGTGAGATTAATCCCAGCATGAGCTCTCCTTGCCACACTGAGATAATCCTTACTGAAACAGAGCAGATTGTTGCCAAACCAGATGAGGTTGCACAGATGAGAAAGATATCCAAGAAGAAACTGGAGAAACAACAGTATATGACTGGGGAATAAATTCAGCATAGAATAAATGGAAATGAAAGTAAAAACCGTGGTGGTGGGGGGGGATGGCCTTCAGTTTACAAACAAGCCCAAAGCAAAGAAGGAAAAAAACCACACATTAGTGGGTATGAATTTATAGCCAGAGGGGACAGAGTCTTCAGAATTAGGAAAAGAATGACCAGGGGCAAGTCTGAGGTTAGGTAGCAGATGTGCTGGAAGGGGCCAGGCAGGTGGCATACTTGAATTGAAAATGTGAGGCTCTCAGAGAAATGGCCATATATGGACCCCCACAAGGGATGCCAAAGCACAACCTGCCTTCAGCATTGCCTTTCTGGGTCCATAGGCACTGCCTCCTCATTCCTGTTCCTGGAGCTCATCCCTATGCATGAGAGAAATTCTGTTGGGAAATGTGGTGGACTCCCCATTGGGTTAGACCCCTGGCTGCCTGAGAGGTTCAAGCTGGCAGAAGAACAGGGAAAGCCACAAGACTGCAGGGGCAGGTGCCAGCAAGAAAGGCGGCCAATGCCAGGAAGACACCCACAGTGAGAGGTGCAGATTGCCCAAGGGCAAATTTGCTCAGTGTGCCCAGCTTCGCTCTTGCCCGGGCTGAGAGGACTCATGTGCCACGGCCAAGAGCCCTTAGGCGCTCTTGCAGCTGGCTTCTCCGGACATCAGTTCTGGAGGGCCAGGAACAAACAGGCTTCAAGGTCAAGGGCTTGGCTGGCAGAAGGGGCCTGGATCCTTCACCTCTGTCCCCTCTCCCTTCTAGCACATATAAGATGCTAGTCACACTTGGGGGATGAGAGGGGAAGGCGTCTGCAGCAAGATGGATGTGGGCAGCAAGGAGGTTTTGATTGAGAGCCCGCCGGTGAGTGTGACCGTGTGTGTATATGTGTGTGTGAGCTGGGCCCTGCTTCATCCAACCTCTCTGAGACTGTTTCCTCATCCAAATTCATTCATTAAACTAACCCATGACTGTGCTAAGTTAGGGCAGGGACACCAACCACCAAGGCACAGTCCTTCGGGGAGACAGACGTGGCAGCCAATAATTCCAATGTGAGGGGCTGAGAGCCACCACAGTGGTCAGTAGAAAGGGCTATAGAGAGCGCTGTGTAAGCAGCCACTACTTGGGAAGTCACAGGAAGCTTTGCAGAGAAAATGACATTTGAACTGGCTCTGGAAAAATAGGTAGGAGCTCACTAGGTGGAAGAGGCAGACATTGTAGGAAGAAGGGGGTAGTACGTGTAAAGGCGGGGAGGTGTGAGAGATTGTGGATTATTTGGGGGAACAGAGAGGGACTGGGCATGGCCGGGGTGCCAGGGGTCTGGAGGAAACAGCAGATGAGACTAGCAAAGCAGAGTCTCTTGGGTCTCTTCATGCTAGACTTCACGTCTAAGCATTTCTGTTGGAATCCAGGCCACCTCTTCCAAGAAGCCTTCTCTGATCTCACCCTCTTCTGCATGTCCATAGTATTGGTGTCCAGCTGTGGGAGGGTATCCAGCTTGTGCAGGGAGAAGAAGGGCCAACTTCATGATCTCACACCTATCTCCCTGCCTGCCTCACCATGTCAGGACTACTCAGCAGCCCCCCGGGGCCGGTTCAGCATCCCCTGCTGCCCTGTGAACCTCAAACGCCTCCTCATCGTCGTCGTGGTGGTAGTCCTTGTGGTCGTGGTGATTGTAGGGGCCCTGCTAATGGGTCTTCACATGAGCCAGAAACACACCGAGATGGTGAGCAGGCCTGGGATGGAGTGGGCAGTGGACACAGGACATGCCAAACAGAGGGGCTGAATGGGCTGGGTAGACAATGAATGGTCCAAGGGGACCGGAGGGGAGGAGGCAAGGGTGCCTCAATAAAGGACAGAAGCACCTGGTGGCAAATCGGGCTTGGGTTTTTGCACCAGGCCTGTTGCTGGTATGGCAGCCTGTTCTTTCCAGGCTCTCTGAGCTATCAGGGAAGAAGGGATTGCATTTGAGTAAAGAGGGCTGAGAGTGGACATGGGTGCCAAAGGGATGAGTGGGGAAAGAGAAATGTCAGTCCACCCTATGCCCTCCCCCAGGTCCTAGAGATGAGCATTGGGGGACCAGAAGCCCAGCAGCGCCTGGCCCTGAGTGAGCGTGTGGGTACCACTGCCACCTTCTCCATCGGCTCCACTGGCATTGTAGTGTATGACTACCAGCGGGTGGGTATACCTGGACCGCCTGATGCTGGGGACGGGGGGCCAGTGACGAGACTTTGCTAGACCCACCCAGCTGTGCCATTTCATGCATATCCATCTCTCCCCAGCCCCTAGCTCTTTTGCTTGCCCAGGCTGATCCCCAGATTCCAATATGACTGCCTTCGGTGCCTAACCTAGAGGGAGATAGCCCAGGATCAGGGTTAGGGAGTGAGTAAGGCAGGGCCTTTCTGAATGAACCCTGGGGTTTCTGTCCTCAGCTCCTGATTGCCTATAAGCCAGCCCCAGGAACCTGTTGCTACATCATGAAGATGGCTCCAGAGAACATCCCAAGTCTTGAGGCTCTCACCAGAAAGTTCCGGAACTTCCAGGTGGGTGTGTGAGTGAGGAGGAATAAGTTGTCTCCCTCCCAGGGCTGCTCGGAGGAGCATTTGAGATAACAGCTATTTGTCACCTATAGAGCGCTGCTCCTTGTGGGCTGCCAGGTGAGTGCCCCTCTCCAGACTCACCTGTGTCACACCTTCCCTCCTATTCCCCAGCCCCGCCCTGATGCCAAGCTGCTGGGCTCAGCTGAGCCTCACCACTTGGGGGCTTCTGACTCCAGCACAGCCCCCTCTTTACTGGTAAGGAAACCAAGGCTTTTAGGAGGCTCAGAGAGATGGTCTCACATGCCTGAGGTCCCACAATAAGGGCCACAGGTGGAACAAAAACTCAGTTCCCAGGCTCAAAATCAGGTGCTCTTTCCAGGTCAAGCCTGCAGTGTCTACCTCTAAGCTGGGCCAGGAGGAGGTCCGTGATGCTGGCTCAGCATCCTCTGTGGACCTGGACTTCCTGGGCACCACTGTGAGCACCCTGTGTGGCGAGGTGCCCCTCTACTACATCTAGAACCCCTCAGGTGAGCAGGTGTGACTGCCAGGGCACTGAGCAGCTGTGGCCCAGGAAGGCTTGGGCCACCTCCCCATGTCAGCTGACCAAGCAACAGGGAGGATCCACTGAAGCCAGGTCATCTAGGGAGCTCAGGGGAGGGAAGGTTCATAGATACCTCCCCCCAGTCTCTCTCCCTCTCATAATAAACAGTGTTTCTTTGCTTCTCAGGGCCTGTGGAAACCCCAAATGGACAGGAAAGATCCATGAGAAAAGGGTCTTTTGCAGAGACGCAGGAAGCTGCTCCTGCCCACACCATAGGGACTGGTGCTGGAGAAATGGGAGCTGTGGGGAGAGGTGGGAACGGGCAGCGGAGATGCTCCTGGGGCCAGGGGGCTACTACCATGAAAGAATAAAGCAACCCGATTGAAAAACGAAGGGTGAGCCTTTTCTATCTCCCACACCCTCTCGCTCCCGCTCTTGGTGGGTGGGTCAGGGGAAGGGTAGGACCTTGGGGAAGCAATGGGGGTTTCCCCTTCCCACTTCGTCCAGGAGCGATGCGGGGGCGGGGGGCAGTGGCGAGGGGACTAGGCAATCTACGGGCTCGAGGCGCCCCCCAGTGGTGTCTCCCGAGGGAGGGAGAGAGACAGAGACAGCCAGACACCGAAAGACTGAACTAGAGAGACAGGGACCGCGATGGGAGAGAGCTAGGGTCCGAAAAAGGCAGAGACCGAGAGAGGCGGGAGGAGAAACGCAGTCAGAGACCGAGGAGGCAGAGGCGAGCTGAAGCCCGGGAGAGACCTGACAGCGTGTCCCGCTGCCCGGGACGGGGCTCGGGCCCGGCGCCCACGGGACCAGCCGCCACTAGAGGGCACCTCGCGGGAGCGGCCGTCGGCCGGGCACCCCGAGGCCCGGCGCCCCCTCCCCGGCCCCGCCACCCCGCGCCCCGGGCGGCCGAGCCCCCTCCCGGGGCGGGCCGGCTCTCCGCGGTCCCCGCCCCCGGCTGGCTCGCGGCCCGACCCGGCAGAGCGCTGTCCGGGACCCGAGGGAGGCCGAGCTCCAGGCGAAAACCCGCCCTCCAGCGAGCTCATTTCAAAAAAGGGGGGGGGGGGGGAGGGAGGAGAGAAGGAAAGAGGGAAAAAAAGGAAAGGAGCGGCTGGAGGCCTGGGGAGAGAGCTGAGGAGCCGCGCAGGAGAGGGGCGGGAGACAGGAAGGAGGGGGCGAGGACAGGAAGGGGAGAGGTAGACGCTTGAGGGGGGGGGTAGTAGCGCGGGGAGGGAGCGCGGGCGAGCGGAGGGGAGCGCCTCCCGCCGCCAGTCCTCCGCTTCCTGCCGGCCTCAGTCCGGGCGCGACCCGCCGCCGCCACTGTGCCTGCTGCCACCGCCGCCGCCGCGCTCCAGTGATGCCTGGCGTGGCCTGCCTGCTGCCGCTGCTGCTCTGGCTGCTGCTGCTCGCGCTGGGCGGGCGCATACTGACCTGGCCGATTCACACCATGGACCTGGGGAGGAGGGAGGACTCGGTTCGTCAATCCGGTTAAAGACCCCAAGGCGGGTGGCGCCCTCAATTTTCGCCGACTGGCAGGGGCCGGGGCCGGGAGCGAGCAGGCCCGGCGGAGGCTGCTGGCCGCTTAGGGTCTGGGGGTCAGACAGTCCAGTGTGGGAAGCCGGGAGCTGCCTGGTTGGCAATGCAGTGGGGAACAAAAGAAAGATATAGGGAAGTTTGGGGGACTTTTAGGACTGAAGTTTTGCTGCTATTTGTGGAAGCTGCTGCCGCTGCCTCCTCTTCCCAGAGGATTCCTGGGGAAAGCTCTTTGGGTCCAGGGAGAAACCTGCGGCCAAGGAGGCTTTTCCTCCTGCAGGAAACTTTTCTGGCCAAACTCCCGTGTGTGTGTGTGTGTGTGTGTGTGTGTGTGCGCGCGCGTGCACTTTTCCCTTCTCCCCCATCTCAAGCTCCAGGACATTGGTGTTTTCCAGCCTGTCTGGGCTGCCCCCAGGCTGCACATCTGTCTGCCCAGGGGGTGCGGGAGGCCTGCATCTCTGAGCAGCAAGTCTCCTGAGGCCCCCACCCAGCCAAGAGAAAGAAGAAAGTCTTTCAAGGGATCCTCTGAAACCATGCTCCCTGGGTATCCCATGTGTCACCCCACCAAACACAGCAACCTTCTGGAACAGAGGAGACAGCTGTCAAAGTTAGAGAAGCCAGCCAGGGAGGGGGAATTACCTCTGCCCTTATGTGCCAGAGAGACCTAACAAGGCCAAGTTAGGGTGGAAAGGAGAAAAACACAGAGAACTCAAATACTGTATATCAGCTCTCTCAGTCCACAGACACTGGAGGCTAATTAGCTGAGGTCAGGGCCCTGGAGTGTGTGTTTGCGTGTGTGTGTTCTTTGTCCATGAAGACCCCAAGTAACCCCTTCACTCCTGCTGGGCCCAGAGGGGTCCTGCCCCTGGAGTGACCAGATGGCCAGGCACACAGGCTGTTTGCCTAATCAGATGACCCTGAACAGGCTGCCTGGGACAAGAGAACACACAGGGCATAAGATGTCAGAACCTTTCCTCAACTTCCTGCCTCTGATTTCAGCCTGTCTCCAAATAGCCAGGGCCAGGGGCAGTGGCACAGTCCCTAAGGTTCTAGGAGTGCCTGTATGTGGCATAAGAGGTTGGGTCACTCTAGTCCTAACCCTGGGCTCCCCACTTTGGGTGAATGGATCACACTAAGCTGCAAAGTAGGAGACCCTTCTTCCAGTGGGAGGAGCAGAAGCCAAATCTCTCAGCCCTTCTTCTCCACCCCCTCTGGATTGTGGGTGACCCAGACATTAGCCATCATCTTTCTCCCTGGGCTTGGGGTGGGCATGAGGCTAAGCAGATAGAGCTTGGCCTTTGAAGGCAGGCCGACCTAAGCTGTCAATCCTGGACCCACAGCTCATTAGCTCTACTGCCTGGCGGATGTTAATTATCATCTCTGAACTTGGCTTTTCTCACCTGTAAAATGGAACTGATAATATGTCTCTCTGTAGAGTTGGTGGTAAGGATTAAATATGAGAACATATATAAAACACTTATTAGAGATTAACACACAGTAAGCACTTAATAAATGTTTGCTGCCTACTCCCCTGTGTTCTGTGCCTCACACTCTCATTTCATTATTTTTTCTGAGGAATGGGCTTGGTTTTCAGGAAAAGGAAGTGTTCTCCCTGTCTCTGTCCTTGTATTACTTGTTTATTCTACTGGTCTACATGTACTGAATGCTAATATGTGCCTGGCCCTAGGCTTGATGTTGTGGGAGATACAGAAAAGTGTAAGACATGGCCCTTGCCCTCAGTGAGCTTCCAGTCCAGCAGGCGCACAAGACGTGTAAACAACAGCACAAACCACAATGCGTTATGTGCCACCTTGGAAGGAAAGGACTTAAAGGCTCAAGGAGCCTCTTGTCCCTCTGCAGTCCCAGTGGTGACGGTGGCAGAGAAACAGTGATCACAGCAGGCTGGGAAGGTTGGAGGGGGGGGGGTCCTCATGCAGGAGGCAAGGCCTTAAAGAATGGGTAGGAAGTCACTCTGATGTATTTCACTCCTGGTTGGAATTGGAGTGATTTTTGGAAGAGGCAGCAGGAGGCTGAGGGCTCTATCCCCAGTCTCGGATTTCATGCTAGGGTGGGGCTGGCTGAGTTGGAACTTCAAACAAGGGCTCTGGAGAAAGCTCTGCACCAGGGTGAAGTGAGGCTGGTGGGGAGCTGGGCCAGGCCTGGGGGGTGGCCGAGAGGGCCCGAAAGCCTGACAAGGCCAAGATTCAGGGTCAGATCAGGCTTCCCTCTTGGGTGTGACTAGTGCAGCCTTGCGTACCTCTGCCCTGACTCCCTAAGACCCCACACTGACAACCCTCAAGCCTTAGGTCCCTAGGCTCTTTTCTCTATGTTGCTGTGTCTTCTTGCCCTCTCTGAGCTCTGGTGGTAGGTGTACCTGGATTTACCTCCTTTGGATGCACCTGATATGTCTGCTTCCCTCTTCTCCCTCGACCCTGTCCATCTCTCTCCTTTTCTCCTCCTTGCACACAGAGAACCAAGAATGAAAGCCCTGTTCACTCCCCTGGCTCACCTGTGATCTTTTCAGGATAACCAGGCCCCTTCATTTGAGATTACGTCTTGCAGTTACTGTCAGAGTTAGGGCAAAATTGAGAGAAGTAAGGAAAAATTAAGACCCTTGATACCCTGGAGAGTTTCCTGGATCTTCTGGGCAACACCAGAACAATAGGCGGGAAGCCAAATTGGCCTATGTGTGTGCTGATTGCTGGTCCCACCAAGCTTGCACTCTGGTGTGCAGGCTGTCAAATGCAAATATGAACTCTGTCTCTCTGTCTCTCTCATTCTCTCCCCCTTGCCCAGGGAGATTGCAAGTCAGCCCTGACTTCTTGTATGTTAGGATGCCAAACCATCAAGGGGGGAGGGGTCCTTCCCTGAGATTCCCAGCTCTGTTTGGTGCCCCAGGAGACTTGGCCATGACCCTCAGGACTCTGGGAGAGACCCAGGAGGCAGGAATTGGGACATGGTTGCTCCCATAAGCAGAGAAACACGTAGGGACTACCCTTGAACCAGTGAGGACCTTCCTTTTACCTCAACTTGCATCCCAGAGGTTTGCTTTTAGGAGGTGAGGTATGGGGGTAGCTTACCAACCCTTATCACTCTCCTCAGCCCAGGGCCTTGTGGCCCAGATTTGGACTTCAAGGGGCCTTAGAGGAGTAGGTCACAAGCTCCGGAAGTTGAGAAGCAATCCCTTCTCTTGCCAGACCACATTCCCCCTCCAGACACTCTGAATGAGTCACCCACCCACCTATGCCCCTGCTCCCTGAGTCACCTTCTCTTTTAGGTGCCCCAAGGGAGGAGGAAAAGACAGTCTCCCTGGGCTCCAGATGGAGGGGAACCATGGGACTCCCCAGAAGAAGGAACTCTCAAGAATTCTAGTTTCTCTAGAGATCTGGGGAGAAGATATTAGGGGAGGACAGGGAGAGAGTAGAATGTGTCACTCAGGCCACTAAGGACTTCCTAAGGGTATCCAGAGGAATCAGTTAATCTCTCTGTCTCTTTCTCTCTGTCTGCACCCCCCATCCATTTTTAAGGTCACCCTTCTCCTTTTGGGGGTATGGCCTGTGAAATGTGCACATGCAATTATTTGTATGTTTGAACACACTACGGCTTACACAGGGAAGTAGTAAGGATGGTGTTTGGGCACATTTATGGGTGCACCTCTGCTTTATGAGCAAGTCTCTTCAACTGTGCATATGGGTACTCCTGAGTACATGTAAGGATGCATGCAAATACACACCTGTATATAAGCATACAGCTGTGATTAAGTATGTTCTCCCCAGCTAGAAGCTTGCATTTATGTGATAGGACATGCGTATACCTGGTACACATGACATTGGGGCTCCATCACACCAGTGAGGGTCCTCTCCCTCTCCCCAGAAGGGGATGCCTTGCAACACCCTGTGGGGAGGAGACTCTGGAGTCAAGAGGCCTACCTACAGGATGGGCATATGAGGTCCACCTCACTCTTTTTCCTCTCCTGCTCCCAGCCTGGCAATGGAGCAGCCACGATTGCTCCTGGCTGGTTTACAGCCGGAAAACAAAACAAACTTTTGATCCTGTGTTGAAAACAACTACTACTCTGACCCTGACCTCAGGGCTTCCTTCCGGGTAAGGGTTAGGGGGGAGGTGTCCTGGACTTTCCAGCATCCAGATTCCCTAGCTTCCCCATGAGGGAATCCCAAATGGGCAGGGCCTTCAGGCTCAGCTCCTGGCCAGAAGGCTCTCCTGCCCACCCCATGTCTCCCCACCCCCACTCTGTTCCCACACATTCTTCAGTCATGACATCCCCACCACAGGACTCCGGCTCTGCAGAAGAGCTCTGCGGCCAGCCTAGGGCCTTCCTGCCTTCCACTTGCCCTGCTCCCTGCTCCCTTCCCCCACTGTCCTGGTTTCACAGGCCAGCACAGTTCTGTGGCCTCTGTACTTGGAATTTGAGGTTCTACTTCTGAGCACTCCAGGGCTTCCCTCAGCTGGGAGGCCAATGTGGGTGAACCAATGTGCCCTTGGAAAGTAGAGAGCAGATTATGAGCTTATGGGGCTGTTATTGGAGTAATATTAACAGTAGTCATTTAGTGGGTACTTACTGTGCTCCATACTCTGTGCTAGGTGCTTTATTTACATGCCTTATTTCATGCAGTAATTCTAGGAGACAGATTCCGTTGTTAGCTTCTTTTTATGTAGGAGAAAATTGAGGTTTGGTAGAGCTTATATGACATGTCAGCTAATATTAGCCAAGCTAGGATTCAAAGACAGGTCTAACTACAAAGACTTTGCTTTTTGCTGCTGTGTGCAGAGACGAGTCTAAATATCCAGCCACATGTGTATATGATAATGCCCACGGGCACGTGAGCTTGGAGGTACTTGTGTCTGTGCAAAGGTGTGGAGTTATTCATGTGGCATGAGTGTACCTGTCTGAATGTTGGCGTGCAGGAAGCCATCACTGCCTCCTTGGAGTGTCCCTCTGATCCTATGATCTTTGCATGTCAGCTAAGAAATATCTTCTGTTGCTGTCCCACCAGTTCCTGAGCCAAGGCCACCAAGGGCGACATTTTACAGAAAAGAATATTGCTCGTGTGGTGGAAGAGATTCTGGGCCAGTTACCACCTGGTGACCTTGGGCAACTCATTTCCTTTCTTAAGCCCAAGTGTTCTAATCACTAAAGTTGGGGAGGTGGGCTGGAATCTAGCCACTCGGTTCTCTCTCCAGCAATTTGTAATTGTACACACCCAGGCAAATGCAGAGATGGAGTGTGGCTTAATGGGCACGTGCCGAGTGGGCCAGGATTAAGTGAATCCGTTAATGAGAAAGCACTTTGTCAACTAGGAAGCACAACATTGATTTCGACATTAACATAAGGTGTCATTATTGCTACCATCATTGGCTTCATGGGTTTGGAGCTTGCAGTTAGTTTGTGTGTGTGTTGGAGCTTGTGCATGTGTGTTTTTTTAGAACACGTGGTTTATGACTGTATTTTTGTGTGTGGATGCGTGTGTCTGAGTGAGTGTCTATCTTTGTGTATATGGCTCCACAGAGGTAATGAACTTGAGTGCAGTGAATGCCAGACTAGGAATCAGGAGGCCTGGGTTATGAATCCAGCCTCTCCAATGACTAGCAGTGTGGGAGACCATTTCCCTTCTGAGCCTCAGTTTCCATATCTGTAAAATGGAAGGCTGGCCTAGATAACTGCTAGAGGGACTCCCACGTTCTGTTGATCCAGGTGAAGGTCCCATCAGAGTACATATCTATGGGCATGTGTTTGCAGGCCTAAAGACTATTGATGTGATACTTCACTCGAATAAATGTTCTGGAGTGCCTTCTACCTACAAGGGTGGTGTGGGCGCTGCTGGGGGAGGGGGCATCTCTGTGACTCACATAGCTCTGTGTTTGAGGGCATGGCTGTGGATGTCACCAAATGTCTGTAGGATCACTAACCCATGTGGCTGATTCTCTGTGTGATGAAGTGTGTGTGTGTGTCCACCCAGCGGGCCATCTGGGGAGGAGAAACCTGTGTGCAAGGCCTCAAGGTTAAAATAATTTGTGTAATGCTGCCGCCAGGCCTGTGTAGCACTCAGGATGAGAAGCAGATGTTGCCATGGGTGGAGCTTCAGGGAAGCTGCTCTGCGCCCCACCTCCATCCAGCTCACCCTCCCGCCTCCCCAGCCCAGCTCAGCATGAAGCTCGCCTCTGAGCTCCTTCCAGAGCACTCAGCTTCCTCTTGCTCCCAGCTTTTCCAAAGGCAGGCAGATTGTTTAGCTCATCTCTCCAGAAACATCTCTCCCTAGGTCCAGAAATCAAAATGCCTATTCAGGGGGCTCTATTCCCCCAGGCCTTTCTTCCTCCAGAGAGGAGACCCTGAGACTCAGAATAGGAATCGCTTGAAAACCGTTAAACTTTTTCCTCCTAGCTGGGCAGCTCCCATTAAGTGTCCTGGTTTCCCTAATAGGCCTATCTGCTCCAATTTTTGTTCACGGCCTCCCCTCAATTTAATTGAAACGGCACTTGTGTGAATACCATAGGCTCGGAGCAGTGCCAAGGTTATGGGCCCACAGAGTAGATGCTCTATCATCTCACCCCCTTCTGTTTTCTTCATAGCATTCATCACTGTCTGGAATTCTTGAGTTCAGTGTTTATTTAGTTATGTATTGTTGAAGGTTAGCTCTATGTGAGCAGGGACCTCTTTTTTTTTAAGTTTATTTATTTATTTTGAGAGAGAGAGAGAGAAGAAGAAGAAGAAGAGAGGGAGAGAACACAAGCAGGGGAGGGGCAGAGAGAGAGAAAGAGAGAATCCCAAGCAGGCTCCTTGTTGTCAGTTCGGGGCTCGATCTCACGACCATCATGAGGTCACGACCTGAGCCAAATCAAGAGTCAAATGCTTAACCGACTGAGTCACCCAGGTATTCCAAGCAGGAACCTCTTCTGTCTTGCTAATAACTCGAGTGGTACCTGGCTTACTAAATATTTGCCACAGAGCGATGGGAAAAGTGACATGATCGTGTCTTCCTCTGGTAGGGAACGTGTATCAGCTTTGCTAGATTCCCAACTTAGAAGTGAGCACGAGTCTCCCCCGGGATCCTCAAATCCAGTCCCCTATGACCCCCTTCCTCAGAAGGCATTTGAAGACTGATGTTGCTATGGGGGTAGGGGTGGTACCCATGGGGTTGGAACTGTCAGTGCTGGGTAGGAGGATTAACTTCCCAGGCCTCGTCTTTTCTCTCTAGCTGCCTTCCTTGGGGACATCGCCCTGGATGAGGAGGACCTGAGGGCCTTCCAGGTGCAGCAGGCTGAGGACCTCAGGCAGCGTGCAACCCACAGGTCTTCCATCAAAACTACAGGTACTCTGGGTACAGGCGGGCCCTTCTATGTCCCAGAAATGGGTTCCAGAATTAGAGAAACAAGCAACCTCCCTGTTTCCCAACCAGGCCCTCTCAGGACAGAGGCTATGAGCTTGAACCCAGCATAATGGCTTATGTTCCCTTGGGATATCTTTGTCCCTTCCCCAGAGGAGCAGCAAGTATAGACATACCCAGGAGCAAAGAACTGACATTCTTTTTGCTTACAGTTTACAAAGTACTTTCACCAGCATTATCTAACCTTTCCCCAACCACCTTCAAAGGTAGATGTAGGACAAGTCCTGCATTGCAGATCCAGAAACTAAGACTCATGGAGATAACATGACTCATTCAAGATCACATAGCTGGTCAGTGGCAGTGCTGGGACAGGAACCCAAGCCTTCTCACTCCAAATCTGATGCTCTTTGCTCAACACCCCAATCCCTCCCAGCTTCTCCTCATGCTCCCACTTTGCAAGCTTTTATACTTCCTTCAAAGCCCATCTCAAGAGCTTCTCTGATGAAATCTTCTCTGATCATCCCCCAGGCATGGTTATCCATCCATTTTCTGTGCTCTGTCTGCTCTCTGTTTACCGTATTAGTGTCTCACTCATGGAACCATATTTCAATGATTTTTTTTATATGTCTATCTCCCCAACTGGACTCAAAGCTCTTTAAGGTCAGGGACGGGTCCTTCTTATCCCTAGGTGTGGCCCAAGCACCTAGCAACCCACCTGGCACTTATGAATGGGTGAGAGAATAGGAAGAATGAGTGCCTGGGCTGGTTTAGTTCTGTCCAGCTTTGTCACTGCTCAGGAACATGGTGCTGCCCACAGGGAGCCCTCCCACTGACAAAGGATAGGGATTCTTATCCAGAGCCCATTCTGCACACACTCTGGTGGTTGTCTTGTCCAGCATGAGAGAGGATCTTGGCATGGGCAGCCATGGAGTAAAGGTCAAACTTCCCAGAGAGGAGCTGGCATTGGAGGGGAACATGGTGGCCTGATGACTAGCAAGGCTTACTTGGCCTGAGAGGGGACCAGCAGACATGGTTCAAGCAGAATGGAGGAACTGGAGCATGTGGGCCTGCCACTAACTCACTAGGTGACTTTGGGCAAATCTTTGGCTTTAGTTTCCTTATCTGTCGAATAATACACAGTGACACTTGCACAGTGCATCCCAGAGAGCTACTGTGTCAAATGAGAACATATATTTGGGAACACTTAAAGACGTCAAGCTCTATATGCTCCACAAGGAGGAAGTTTTATTAGATGAGAAGTCAACATTTCCTGGTCTCAAGTCCCCTATAGTTCCTAGGAAATTAGTACACCATTGTTCTCTTTTTCAGTTTTAGTCCATTCTTGCTATCTGTGGTAGTTATGAATAGAGTTATGGAATAACTTTGTTCTATAAAGTCACTGTGAACACTGAATTAACAAATACTGAGTCAGTCATCACTCCTAGGAGAAATACAGGGTTAGGTCCCTGCAAGCCTCTTGTCACAACATTCTCACCAACTGATCAGTATGTAACCCTGTCTTACGTATGTTTCTGTTTAAAGACCCCTTATTTAATACACAGTAGATTCATTAACTTTGAGCTATAGCCAACAGGACTGTAACTTAGGGGCTCGACAAAGCATATTAACACACGTGTATTTTCTCCATAGGGCACATCAGATCCTTCTTGCACTTAGGAACGCTGGACAGTGGTCTGGTGCCTCTGTACTATCAGGGCAGAAGGGGGTCATTTTAAACAGCAAAATCACCAATAAAAAGTCCCCACATACAAAAAAAAAAAAAATGTGGCACTAAACAGACTATGAAAAAGATGCTTATTTACATTCTGAGAGCTGAACCAAGAAGGCAAAGTGTCACCTTGTTCAACCTCGGTTGGGTATGGGGGTGACTCATGTTTTTCACTGTCCTGTGCGTGTCAGTGATTGACCGTGAAAGAGCTAAGGTTATTGGTTTGGGGGTTACAAATAAATTTTAGTGAGTGGACAGGTATGGAATCCCCCCAAAATGCGGATAGAGTATAATGTTTCCCCGTACTCCTATTCCTTCACTTGCTACCAGTGTCTTCCTCTCCCAACACCAGGAAACTCTTCTACCCCCAACTGCCAGAGCACCAGTGGGCAGCCACAGAGGAGAAACCGTGGGAGATGGAGAAGCAGGTCCCGGAGCCGGCGGGCAGCCACATCCAGACCAGAGCGTGTGTGGCCTGATGGGGTCATCCCCTTTGTCATTGGGGGAAACTTCACTGGTGAGCATGATGTTGTGGGGCCGAGGGAGCAGCCTGCATCGGGGCCTAGCCTTGGGGCAGCCTTGTCATGTGTAGTGGTATGAGTGGTGTCCTCTGCCTATCTGTCCAACAAGAGGCTGACATTCTGGCAGTGGGTTGAGGTGGGCCCACCTGGACACTGTGGCAGCCTGGCCCCCTTCATCCTGGCAGGCAGTCAGAGGGCAGTCTTCCGGCAAGCCATGAGGCACTGGGAGAAGCATACCTGTGTCACCTTCCTGGAGCGCACTGATGAGGACAGCTATATTGTATTCACCTATCGACCCTGCGGGTGAGCAGGGGCCCCTGGGCACTGCACCCTCGGCCATCACCCCAGTCCACATTCTGCTCTGGGCACTACTGCTGCCCCATCTGGGCACGATCCTACATCATCTGTCCCCACTCCTGCCATCGGGCATCTTCCCAGGAGCTGCCCCCTGGTGTGTCTATGACCCCTGAACACAGCCTGGGCATCCCACGCTCAGGCCCCTCCCCTGTACCTCACTCCCTCACCCTCCTGGCAGCCTCGCCCGGCCCCTGAGTGGATGCACTCCCCCAGCTCGGGACCGCCCCCCTGAGCTGGCCCCGCCCTCCAGGTGCTGCTCCTACGTGGGTCGCCGCGGTGGAGGCCCACAGGCCATCTCCATCGGCAAGAACTGTGACAAGTTCGGCATTGTTGTCCATGAGCTGGGCCACGTCATTGGCTTCTGGCACGAGCACACGCGGCCAGACCGGGACCGCCATGTCTCTATCGTGCGTGAAAACATCCAGCCAGGTACGCACCTTGGCCTGAGTGCCTAGCTGTGTGCCACACCTGCCCGCCCCCCCCCTCCCCCCGCCGCCCCAACCACTCCGGGGCCTCTAGTAGGGGTGGGAGCTGCTTCCTGGAGCCATAGCTTGTGGTCAGCTCAGTGTTGTGGCAGCCCT